TTATTATTATTTTTAAAGTACAAAACTGCAGTAGAATCAGAGGTTAAACATATAATGCCTAAAAGCTAAGCTCAGCATGCACAGGTAGGTGCTGTAATTAATAGCTTTAAAGAGCTTCTGGTAATGGAAATAGGAATTCATGTAAGATACGGAGTTTAGAAGGTCTGTAAATGTTTTCTTTCCACTAAGCATCCATACAAGTACAAACATGAGCAGAAGTTCCTTATTATGTCACAGTTCCATTTAAAAGGAGAACAGGGTGTTTCTAGAACCAGGTGGAGATCCTGGATCTTGAAGTCAGCTGCAAATGCAGTTTCAGCATTCCACAAGTGTCGCACCATGCTTTAAAACATTAATACCAGTAAAAGATCAGCTATACTTCCACCTCCCACTCCTGTACTCACTCCAGAAACATGGAAAAGGGCAGGCACAGGAGGCAGTCACGCCAGAGTAGAGCTTTTCTGTAAAACTGAATGTGTGTATTCTGTTTGTGTGATTCCACATTGAAGTACATCCTTTCAAGCTACCTCAGCTACTCATATGAGCCAAGAATAATTTGGCTGAAATCAGTGCAAAAAGCTGGGGAATCAAGACTGTTTCACTGAAGCATTGTTTGGTTGGGTGGTTTTTTTTTGCATTAGACCTTGTAGTTCATTGACTGGAAGCATCTACTAAAATTCAGTGGAATATTCCAAAAGGGAAAACAACATACAGTGCTTTGCTTTTGAAGCCTAATCTTTACATTTTCAGAATGTAAATAATAAAACTCTATTTTCCTGTGAAAATACCTTGCTATAATTTGTATTCTGAGCATAAGTCTTTTTCACAAACAGCAGCAGTTGTAAACTGATTTATTTCAAAGGATTAAAAAAAACAAACCCAAACTTAGAAACAACAAACAAAACCAAAGCCAAACCTCCAAGCAGTACATCATTATCAATATCATGTTTATCCTCATATAGCGAGAAACTCAGCAGTTTGATTGAATTATGCCTTTTGTTTTTAATCCTCAACAGCTTCCAGGTGGTTCACTTACTTTTAACCCACTCCAGCAGCAGCCACTGTCACAGTTTTCTCCACAGCAGCAATCTCAGCAGCCTATAACCTGTAGTCCTCAGCAACAGGGAGACCAGGTGTGTGCTAACAACCCTCAGCCTGGGGTGCGTGGATCAAACAGTTTCTCCTATTCTCCACATCTACACAAATAAATGAGCCTTTACCCAGTAGATCTGAAGCAGAGGGGAGGAAAGTCTTCCTCCAAACCTTTCTCAATCTGCAGAGACTGCAGCAGCTTTGTTGCCGTGGCTGAACTGGGTTATTCTCCGTTACTTATATCCTGTATAAAAGAGCTGTAACGAAACAATTGGCTAAGCACTAGCATAAAGAGAGCCAGCTCACTGTATGAGAGGTGTAAAATCAGCTTGGTGTTGTCCTGTTTATAACTAGCTGATGTAGAGATACATCAGATAAACACATTAAAACCATATTCAGGATAACTATGAAGTACAAATTCTCACACTGCTGTGAGTTGGTGTACAATCCTCACCGCTGTAGTTCAACACAATTGTTTTCTTTGCACCAGAGGAAGTACCAGTTGGCTTTAAAGCTGTCATCTTAGGACACTTGCTACTGCTGCCTCTAAGTAGCATTAAAGGCTTTAATCACTGAAGAAGTCTAAAGTCCTGAAAGAGACTGATCTGCCTGTTCTCAAAATGACAGACTTTGAGTGGTTGGTTCTACCTGTGCCTAAAAACCTTTACCAGCACTAATGCACCAGTATGGGAGAAGTAGCTGCTCTGCTTTTGTGGTCTTTAGCTTTTGTCTTTCCAGATGTGTTTGCCAGACTTCTGTTTGCCAAATAGCCTCTACTGGATACTCTGTTTATCATGATAATTATGTTCATTCTGCTGTAGACTGGTCATAAATGAGATACCTCTTTATAATATTTGTATGGCATATAGTCTTCTGTGTCACAGGCCTTATTCTGGAATGTGGGACAGTTTAATGGGATTTGTTCGCAGAATACAAATGTCAGTTACTATTATGAACTTCTAAAAAGAAATGCAAGTGCATACTATTGGGTTTTATTTTTGAGATATTCAACTTTCAAGAGCATTTAAAAAAAAGCTGATGTGAGCCTAGTTCTTCATGTGGCAGAATGGTTTCCTCCAGAAGAACTATCTCTCTGCGTTGGCTGACTTGCCCTAAGGAACTTCTCTCTTACCACACATTATAGACTAGGACTAGGGTCATGAGCTAAAATGAGCTCATACAAATATTCAATTCCTTAGCTTTCACAAAGGACAAATATGTGTGTGCTTATAGTGCTGTAGTCAAAGTGCTTTGTCGAAAAAACTTATGCCCCAAAAGACTAGCAGTTTTCTGTGCTGCACACAGGATATATATGTTTTCATCTCGTGTTTAGGAGTTTTCTCCAAATGGTGGTTGTGACATTCTAAGTCTTGGTCATCTCCATCAAGATTATGATGTCTTCTTAATGTGTAGTCTTTCGATCAAATTTAATTAGGTCTTAGTGGCATTATTTCATATAGTTATTCTGAAAAACCATTGCAACTCTGGAAATGCACCAGCTCACAAGATTTTATTTTCTGACAGATAAACCATGCAGCTTTCTTGACTTGCATATGTAATACTTTATTTCCCCACTTCCTAATCAGTGCACAATTTAAGTATAGAAGAGGTCATAATTCAGTACCTTTTGACTTAAGTAGATGCTAGGTCAGATTTCACTAATTCCATTTGAGTGATTACTGTGAGAACAATTCTCTTCTGAAAATAAAATTTTAAAAGCAGGATTTGTATTTGTGAATTCAAGGACTGTGTGGCACAATGTGAACATGTGAATGTAAGCTTCAGACTTGGCACATTTTGATTGATGAAGACCTTTGCACATGGATGGTTTCAGGTGTCATCTGAAGACTGGGGTTGGGAGTGGGACAGGATATTGTCATAAGACTACAACCATGAACTGTAGTCTGCTGGCTGTAGGGAAGTTTACAACTACGTGGGATTTCTGCTGGGTGACAGGCATTATAGCATTTCTGCCAAAATGGAGCTGGTTTGGGGCATTCATCATCTGTTTTACTTTAGTAGTGACTACATCATAGCCTGTATCTATACACACTGGAATATGTAGAATTAAATGGTTTTAAGTGGCACTTCAGAAGTTTGCCTTCACACTGGTTTATTTACTTATTCATTGTTACCAAAGTTTGGTAATAAGGATCAAGCTTTTCATTTTTGCTAGGGCTCTGACCAAGGTCCATCTACTCAGGATCAGGCATTATCTGCCCAACAAGCTGCTGTAATAAACCTGACCGGAGTAGGGAATTTTGTGCAACCTCAAGCCACAGGTATGCGCTTGCTGAGCCTCCTTGTGCGGTGAAGTATGTATGTCAGTAAATTCACACTGAGATGAAGTTTGGTCTTAAAGAAGTCTTACGTTACATTAGAACAATTTTCTATTTATTGTCAGCACATGAATTATACAAGAAGTACTTCAAAGCATGCACTTTCCTGCTTTGTTTTGCAGTTAAGTGTAGGAAATTGACATCACATGAACATCACACTTGATACAAAAAGAAAATACAGAGAACTTCCATGCCAGACTTCATTGAAGAACATGTCTTTTAACTGTGTGCTTAACATCCAATATGAGAAACCTCTGTGTCTCCACAAGCACTTCATAATCTAATTATGCTCTAACAGAGCGTGTAGATCATGGTTATTCTGCACTGTTTCCAATTTAACTCTGAAACTAATCCTCTTGATCCCTCTTTTCTATTACACTCTATTCCTGTCTTCCTTCCCTGACCCTGCCAAACTCAACCTGCCCTCTTTGACCTGCCTGCTCTCCCCTTCTCCTTTCTTAGTGTTGTCTCAGCTTGGCTCTGCTGTGAACAGACCTGGGCAAAGCCTTCCTCAGCAGAGACTCCAGCTCTCTTCTGCCTTACAACAGCAACAACAACAAGCCTTGCAGCAGCAGCAGCAACAGATACAAGTAATCCAGCAACTTCACTCTGTTTTAAAAAAAATAATAGATTTAAAAAATACAATTCTCAGCTCCAAACAAAAAAAAAAATACCCAATTTTGACTTTCAAACTAATGTCCTTATGGTCTGGCAAATGAAAAACCCATGAATTTTGCAAACTATCATGGAAGATTTAAAATCTGGTTCTCAGCTTGGAGCACTGAATTTATTTTTATTCATTTAAGCCATCCACCTTCCTGATTTGCTAACATTCAAGGAGTGCTTGTGGCACACACCTAAATGAGCTTATATTGGTCAGTATAAGTTTTGAGCTTAGCACTGCTGTGGTCAGTACATGGAAGTGACAACTCTGGCCAAGCATTCCTTTAGCACTCTGTTGTTCAGCTGCTTTATGAAAAGATAGTAATACTTTTTTTAGCACACAGCCTCCTCTTTGTGATACATGTAGAAAATATGTACAGTGCATAGCCTGAGAAGGTATTACATTAAAATATACTATGTAACCCAAACATTCATTGAAGTTGCTGAGTTACTGCAGTTACTGCGATGGAGAGAAAGGGCAAAGAAACAAAGCTGCCAAGAACACATGTGAAATGTTAAAAATGCCCTCAGCAGGCTTCTGTGCCACTGGTGCTGCTTGACTGTACTTATTGCCCCAGCACACCGTGTATTCCCTTTGTCAACCTGGTGCTTCCTCCTTTGTTCTTTTATTCCACACCCCTTCCTCTCATTCCTCATGATGTGAAACAAAGCTGCATTGTCAACACTAACAAGCTTTTTCTCCCCCTTCTCCTTCATGGCAGCAGTTGCGATTCTTGCAGCATCAAATGGCTATGGCAGCAGCAGCACAAGCAGCTCACCTGCAGCAGCAACGGCATTCAGGCAGCCACTCAAAAAGTAAAAGGAAAAGAGGCACATCAGCCCCTCCACAGTCCTGAGACTTGCTCCCCCCCCCCCCCGCCCCATACAAAACTCTTTCAGAGGGGATTGTTTTTTCTTTTTTTCCGATTTATAAAGGAGAAAGCTTATAATCAAATCACCGTTTTGTAACACTGGTGGGAAAACAAACTTTGATGTTAACACTGAAATAAATTAACTGGTTTTGGAAGCCAACCCTCCAGAACTTGGAGATTTCACCTATAAAGCAGCTACTCTGGTTTCCTTAAGTCACTTAATTTTTTAACAGAATGTTGTATTTTTTACCACTCAGCAGCACTGTATATAGTATAAGGGTGAAAAACATTTTAGAAAAAAATGAACTTTGTAAATGTAGTACTGGTATTTGTTTATTTAGTATGAAAGGTTTGTGAACACTGTAACAAATACAATTTTTACAAATCCATTTTCAAAAAGATCTCTCCTTTTATTCACTTCGGCTTAATACTGTTTATTACTTTGTCTATCAGCTTCTTTACTTCTCTCTGTCTTGTAATTGCTCTGCTGATACAGTCCTGAAGCTTGGCTCCTGTGAGAGGACTTCCACCTAAAAATTAAAGGAAACAAGTATTTTCTACTAATACGTCAGTTATGTATCTCTAAATGTATTTTCCAGATGAGCATATTAAGTAATACAGTAATTCTCATGACCAGCAACTTCCACCTGGGGAACACACGGCAAAGAAAACAGAAACAAACTAGAGGTATAACAGGAGGCATGCTCAAAATCTGCTCTGTGCTGTACATAGGTCAGGCTGTGACTTCTTGAACTTCAGGCATGCCACCTTTTTGAAAAACAATTTCAAGAGTAAGTCATTTAATAAGTTCTCAAGTTGACAGTGTTCTCATGAAGCACCCACATTTTACAACAAAAAGCAGGTACCTAACATCTAGGTCAAGAAAAGGTTATTGTCTCCACAGGCTCTTGTGTAATGAACTTGGAAGTACCTGGTTTGTGGACAGAACAGAGTCTGTCTTCTTCATCAGTCACAACAGTCACTGTTCCAGTTGCCAAGTCTTCTTCTTCAGCATTTGGATCAACAATGAGCAGCGTGCTTGTGAAAAAAAGACATGCGGATGTGTCAGTGTGTTATCGCAAAATACACGTAACATTAACTTTTACTGTAGTCTTTTACAAAATACTATTAGGTGGATTTAGTGCTCAGGGTTATCTGTTTTCTTACCAAAATGCACTGATTAAAAAAAAAGAAACAAAAGATGTGGAAGATTCCACATATTCATGTGCACGTATCTTATAATACCAGCTGCTGAAAGTACAGCTTTATGCCAAAGTTTCACAGATTTGTGACACCCAATCTTATGAAACTGCCATTAAACTGCCACTTGCAGTCACTTATTTTGTGGTTATCAAAGACAGTGGTGTTGGGTTTAGGTGTAGGCTGCGTTTATCTCTACCAGACCTTAAGGCAAAATTAATTTCCAATGGTAAATTCACCATAGTTCTCAGTTTCTTGTTAGAAAACTTTTAACAGAAGACTAGGAACAGTCATAACTGGTTTTACTGGGTTCCTTAAGGCAGCCAAAATAAGCTGTCACACATAACAGGATGCACACCATTGAGAAAGACTAAATATTGTTATTTTGAACCATTTGAGTTTAAAATAGGGCAAACCAATGGGGGGAGAGGGAAAGAGGATCTAAACTACAAGCCAACTTTGCACAAGAAAATCTTGAACTCAAAGCTGAAATTTAAAGCATCACTAACAGTTTCACATTGCCATTTAATAGCAATGATGTAAGGAAAAACATTAAGTCCTTCTCTGCCCTATTCATACATATTGCTATATTGGTTTTATCCACATGCACTGTGCATCATCAGCTATTTGCATGATGTGCAGAGGGACCTGGCACACATGGAGAGTTTGAAGCATCAGACTCATTATCTGTGTACCAGTTGCTGCGCAGGGGCCAGTGTTGCAGCTGCACAGTGCCCTGCACCAGCAATCCTCACCCATGGCCACATGTCCAGCAACCCAGGAGTTTCATTGATTCAAGGAGGGCTTTTATGCAGAAGAAAAATGTCTCTGGAAGCCAGACTATGTAAAACACATTCTGTAGAAGGCCGCATCAACAGATGTACAAAAACTAATAAAACAGAATTTAAAAGAAATCCAAAACACCCAAACCACAGGCACACATAAACACACTCACCCTCAATATTTAGCTTTAGGAGCTAAAGGGAGACTTGGGTAAGTTGTTTAATGCAACAGCTGGTTTCAGTGAAGGGACAAAGCCCATCAGCCACTGAAAGCTTTCTTCCAAAGGCAACATTTTTTTTTTTTCTATTGGCAAGTATGTGTGTAACTTGTGTGCAGATAATACCCTGCCAACAAGATCTGCCGGTGGTGCTAGCCAAACTTTCACTTCCAGTTTACATCACACTTCAGACCCACAAAAACTGGTATTAAAGCAATTAACAGAAGCACTCTAAAGTACTGATCACTTTCTGCTTTGATTCATTTTGGTAATCACTTGGTCAACATTTGAGTTCACTGCTCCCTGCTCCCATATGAATGAAAGAGCCTATTAATCATTTCTGCATATACAGATTAACGTGCTATAGGCCCCCAAAGTCTCTAATCATACCTAAATCTTCAATCAGACTCATAGCACAGTGAGCACCATCTCATTCGTCATTTTTTACTTTTCAAATGGATGTCACCACAAATCCCTGCATGTCTTGTAAATGGCAGCAGAACAATACATAACACATCTGGACTAATGAAGAGCCAGTAAACAATTTCAGGTAAGGAGTCAAGTTATTGGATATGGTTATTTTGAAGTCTTATGATCAGATTCTTGATCTACATGAACAATGACTTAAGAGTGTTGGGTAATTATGTTTTCAGCTATCCAAAGGCTCTGTTGTTCTTGCCAGACTATTATTTCCTCTGTTAACCAAGTCCTTGATATATGTTGTTCAAAAACTACCATCTTGTATATCAGTTATTTATATAGGCTTCTAAAACATTAGTTCTTCTTCTCAGATACTGCAAAAACATACTTATTCCTGTACTTTTAACTGTATCTTTTAGGTTGGGAACAAGTTTTGTGTTAAGGAAGAAGTTGGACAGACTTTGTTTTGTCATACTGCATAATTGTTCATATTACTGAACTACAGGGCAGTTAACAAGAGAGGCTGTGAATTTCAGATCAAGTGAAACAGCACTGCCCAAGGCTGCATGCACTTCACTAGCAGAAGAGCATTAACATCGATAGCATCCTCCGTCTTCTTTTCCATAGTGTTGTTCATAAGTACAAAACGATTATGAACTTACTCATCAAATATAGCAAATGATGTGGCAACCGGATGCTTTCTGATCATCAAAGGATTCTTCTGTTTAAAATTAACTTCTGATAAACCAGTTTCTTCATTTATAGTAACTGATGGCAGTTGTACTGAAAAATGACAATGGTATAATATTAAACATTGTCCAAGACTACTGAAATATTTAAGTCCTTCTAAGCCACTAAAAATTGCTAAGAGTTCTGGCTACAGTACTGGTGTTCTGTACAAAAAAAAAAAAAAAATTACTGAATATGAGGAAAGTATTTACCTTACAATTACCTGGCCAAGGAATTATTTAATTTTTATACTCAAGGTAACATTCTTCCTTGCACAGAAGTATCACTTGCTTCCAAAATGCCATAAACTACATTACTTTAGAGACATATTTAACCAAAAGTATTTTTTTCCAAAAGAAAGTCTACTGGACTATAGTCTCATCATGAGGAATACAGTTTCATCTCCTGAGTTACATGTATCTGTAGAATCAATGAATTTGATCTTCAGGTAAGTCCTGCTTTGAAAATGAGATCCATACAGTTTTAGGAGATGGAAATCAGGAGCAAAGCAGCTTTAAGAATTCAAAGGCAAGCAATTCACAGCTGGAGAAGGAGGCCTAGCTGAAAGCTCCCCTCTGCTCTGCCTCCTATGTGCATTTATAAGCCACATACCTGTGAACAATCAATCCACACATTGCATGCATGAATTTTTTTTTTTTCAAACTGTATCACATTAAGCTAGGAGTACTCTGTTGTTGAGAGAGAATTTGTGTAAGCAAAGCCCCCAACAACATCTGCCTACACAAAATACATTAATGAGGTAAGAACCTGTTCCAGACATTAAAGTTGTTTATGGCCACTGCTGAAAGATTCAGCTCTCTGCCGTGGAAGAACACAAGGCAGAGTAGCAAGAGAGCATACAAATGGCTCTTACTCCTCAGGTCTTACACATCTATGGCATCCATACCATCATTTCCACCTGGGAGTTGCGTTTTAATAATTTGGCATTCAAATGAGAGGAACCAAGCAGTCTTAAGAAACTGTGACTCCACTACCTATTCACCATGACTCAAAACTAACATTTCTCCAAGCAACACTAATTAGAGTGTGTCTCTTTCTCTAGAGAAGACTTACCATTTTTTAATGCTGCTAACAAAGCGAAGGCACTGGCATCCAGAAGATTTCCATCATAGTCCATACATATAATATCACAGTATAGCACCCAAACAAGCTATTGAAAAAGGTTTGTACATGTGAGATGTTACAGCAGCTAAGCAAATGGTACAAAATCTGAGAAAATGCTGGCCACATGATCAAAGCTACTTATTTCCATCATACAATTTTTACAATTCAGGTGTAAGCCAAGCTATGAAAACTAAAAAGCAGCAACAACCCGCAACTCCAAATACCGTAACATCTCAACACTGATCCTCTTAGTACATCTCTCTTCATTGTGAGATACAACTTACCTTGCCATTTGCAATACATAGGTCTTCTTTCTCTATTATCTGTGAACTGAAATAAAAAAAGAATGTAAATGAGGAAACAGAAAACTGTCTTGCTGAGTTCTTATGTTTTAAGCGCATTAAGATTGTTCTTACTTTTCAATCACATCTGCAATGAACTGGCTTGCTGCTTGAGCCTCTTCACCAGGTGGGCCAGAGCGAAACCTCGGTGAGCAGAGGGATGGCAGTTCTACATTTGGAACTAAGTAGCAAGAATCATTAGTCATAAGCTAAAGAAAGCAGGCAGTGGGATATCAAAAACAAGTAAGACTATACACACTCTTAATATCATTTTATGTCTTCAAATTAAAGGCAATTTTTCAATCAAGTCTTCCTACTTCTCTCAAAAATAAAGTTAGGTATGAATTTGTATTAAAGAACTTGCAGTACTCTGTACTCAGAAACCATACAGTCCACAGAGAAGCACATACTCCTACCTACCATCTTCTGTTTGCAATCCTGCTACGAATATGACCCCACACAAATGCTTCCTTGAGTGTTAAGCATTCTTAAACTGAGCAAGAAACGGCATTTTCACACTATTGCCTGACTTTACTGGTATGCCATGTGCTTTCCATCAACCATTAAAACCTGATGCTTTAGACCTGAAGCAAAACCAGGCATAAATATTTATGAAAAAAAAAAAAATGAAAACACCTAAGCAGAATCAAGCTTACTGAAAACAACATACTTCAGAGATGCCTTATAAAAAGGGAATTTGTCTAAGCTCTCAGTTCCCACGTAATTACTGCATTTCAAAAGAAACTCCAAACAGGCACGAGGATGTGCACCTGGGACTTTCACAGTTCTCCTACAAATAAAGAGGGTTTATGTCACCTTTCATGCCACAATCTTTTATAGATGAACTGCCTTCCCCCTTCTAGAATACATACTTCCTTCTGGCACAGGTCTGTTTTCAGACTGGCCTGGAATCAGCTGTAAGAAGGTAGCTGTAGATGGAAATTCCACAAGAAGAGCAGGGGGAATTCTGACATTTCTGAAGGACCACTGCTTATATATCAAGCTGGAAACTGACTTTAAGTAACACAATTTTACCCAAATTCATTCTTCTTTTACGAGGCCTGAAAGACTTACCAATATATCCCTTATTAGCAGAATCTTCTGTGGGTGTAGCAAGTTCCTAGAGAAACAAACAAACAAACGATAAAAACCTAAGAGCTGGATTTTGTACAAAAAGATTTTCCAGCTATTCTATAAAGAAACGGTCATTTTCTTGCCAGTTACCAATACAATGAGTTTTACAACAGCCACTTTTATCAGTCCCTGTCTGTATTTTTCCTATGGGAAAACTCAATACAGTGATATGTCATCATTTGTCTCACAGTTCACGGCAGTCCAGCAGTAAAATTGAAGCTACAAGACATTTAATAATCCAGCCAACTAACTGGCACTTATTGATCAAGATTCAGTAACTGCTTAACTATAAAGCTTTTATCTAGAAATAAAAAAGACTTAATTTTTGTATTTGTCTTTCCCCATACACAATATATGGAACAAAAAAGCACATTCTCAGACTATACAGGTAGGATTAGACAACTCCAAGTCTGAAAGTAACTCAGATGAAAGACCCTAATGGTGTCTGACTGGTATATTATTTTAACTCTACAGGAGATTCGTTCTAAACATAAATGCACAAGTTCAGCTAACAGCTAAATTAAAACAAAAACCAACCGCTTTAACTCCACAAATCACTGTAGTATTTCCAAACTTCACCAGGGCAGAACCATCTGCAGTTGTAATTGAACCTGAAGAAAGAAAGCGCTCTTAGATAACAATCTATTTTCCAGTTCAGACGGCCTTAATAAACACCCACCTTCACAAAGTGTTTACTTTCCATCACTTTATACTAAGCACAGCCTAAGCAAAGTCTCAATGAATCCAGGGTGGGAGCAGAATCTATATTAAACAGTCAATCACACAGAAGGGTTGAGGCTGGAAGGGGTCACTGGAGGTCAGCTGGTCCAAGTGCTCTACTCGAGCAGGGCCACCTAGAGCTGGCTGCTCAGGAATGTATCCAGATGGCTTTTGAATATCTCCAAGGATGGAGACTCCACAACTCTCAACAACCTGTGCCAGTGCTCAGACACACTCACAGAAAAAGCATTTCCTCATATTCACAGGTAACCTGTGTTTCAGTTTGTGCTCATTGCCTCATGTCCCATCACTGAACACCACTGAATAGAGCCTGACTCCGTCTTCTTTATGCCCTTCCTTGAGGTATTTATACACATGGATAAGATCCCTCTGTGCCTTCTCTTTTCTAGGCTGAACAGTCCCAGCTCCCTCAGGTTCTCTTCATAGGAGAAATGATGCTCCAGTCCCTTCATTATCTTTGTGTAAGAATGGCAGGTAAATTGCTGCCCTGTACCTTACTGCATAAGAGGTATCTTGCCTCTGCTTGAGACAGCTGCTCTGCTTAAGACAGCTGCTCATCAAGCTTAGAAAAAAGCAGAGGCCAAGAATCACTGCCTCTTTTACATGCTATCCAGTGCATCCATTTTGCACTGATCAGTATGTGCCTAGATATTGCCTTCACCACCTGTATCACATGCTGCTGATCTCAGAAACAAGCTTCCATGACCACCAAAGATGTGCTGTGCACACCAGCCCAGAAGCAGGACTGAATAACACCACCAAAATCTATCACTCTATCATGCATTCTCTTTAATGCTTGTTGAAACTATAAATAAATATTCTTCCTCTTTCTTGTTCCAAAATGCAGGAACCACGAAAACTCATCAGCAAGTCACAAAGTTCACTTCTATAATCTGAGATTAGTAATACCTCCTCCATTATTATTATTCCAAATAAGCACTTGCCTATATTGACAGTGGTTGTCCGGAATTCACCCAACTCTCGTCCATCAGGGCGACAGTTCTCTTTCTAAACAAAAAATACAAAGTTCAAATTAAAAAACATTTTATTTAATAACACACCAATATTTTTTCTATAGGAGTTAATATAAAATAGTATTGTCTTTTTTAGCAGATACACACAGCTACAAAGATCCTAGGGAGATCTCCATCACATTCTAGCCAATTTTCATCAACTGACATGCAGTTTGTGCCTATAAGCCTGCAAAAAAAGCTATTTTTTTAATTTATTAAGAAAACAAATACCCTTGAGACAATCAATCTATTGTTGTAAGTTCTACAGGCTAGATTCAGGATATCGCTCAAGAATTGATACTCACTGATACCTTAAAATGAGGGTTTCTGCCCATCTGCATTGTTCAGATTCTGTAGGCAATTCCTTCCCCCATCCACACCTAGTGCAGCTCTTAAAACTGTTAGGGTGAACTAAAGGAAAAAACCCACACTAAAAACCAACCAAACACCCCCCCAAAAAAAAACAACATTCAAATACTGTCAGTCAGAAGCTGTACAATATCTGAACCTTATGTTAGAAATTGCACCAATTCACCATCATGTTAGATATTAATTATTATTCATCACAATTTCAAGCTTCTCGAAAGAAAATACTTTTGGTTCAATTATGAGAACCAAAACTGACTGCTATAATACTGGACCCATTTCTAGGTAGATTAGTATTACCTTAGTAATGGACAGACTAACTTAAAATAACAAGTCAGTGGGCTTCCTTCACAGCTATGGTGGGCATGGTTAGCAGCAACAGTCTCTATTATTTTTAGTCACAACATATAAGAGCCTGGTCTAACATGATTTTGTACTAGACGCAAACCTGCACCACCATCTTGGTCAAATTTAACTCACATTCCTTTCAAGGCCAATAGAAACATTTACTCATAAAGTTGAACAGAGACACAACCTGCTGCTGCAAAAACACCACACATAGCAGGAAAAATACATTCTGAAGACTAGGACCATTTTCTCCCTGCTCAGTATGATTTCTGGCTTTCACTTATAGTTTTAAGTTTCTATGCAGACAAATCAGAAAAGCAGAAGCAAGCAAGAAAAAAAATGATTACAAGTAATTTCTACATGCATATAGTGTTCTACTCACCAAAAATCTTCTGTAATATTCCAATGGTTCCACTGTTCTAAAACAAACAGAACAAGAAGTTCACATGCAAGCTCCCAAGTAGGCAAGAGCAAAAAAGATACACAAGCACTACCTACAACAACAAATAACTTGAAAATCAAGATAATTCACAAAGCTGCTTAACAATATGTTTACAGACAGATGAGAAAACTCTAACCTGATCTAAGAAAAAGATTTTTTCACTTCCAAGATGTTTGTATAAGGAACCTGCCTGCACAAATACCTTACAAAAAACTCCTAGCTTTCACCTCAGTAATCTTGACTATTACTTTTAATTCAAAAGGAGTGTTTATTGAGATAAAGATGTAGAATGTTTTTGAAGAAATGCAGGAAGGGTAGTTTTATTACAGCAACTGAAATATCCATTAGTTCAAGGACTGCATTCTGATCTACAAAATGGTTTTAGTCTTGAAATGTTACGTTTTCTCTTAGAATCTAAGAAAATCTAGAATGTGAAATATGCTTCATATTTGTACATGTCGTTGAGAAACAATTAATTCTTACCATTAATTATATACTACTAACAGCATTTACATGTTAGTATTCTAAGCAGCAAACGTTAAAGTAAAAAAAAAAACCCAAACTCATAAAAGTATTATCAGTATTACAACAAAGCCTTCTCGCCTTGTTAAAATAAGCAATTAAGAGGAAAAAAAACCAACCCAAAACCCCAACAATTTCTTCAAATGTAAACTAACATATAGAAGTATCATAACTCATAATAGCAATTATGAATTAACCCCTATAGGTTTCCCACATGTCCTGTACTACTGGTTTTTGTCCCAAACACATGGCCTGATCTCTTCCAGTTCACATAAAAGCACTTGCTAAACCCTGGTTAACACATTTACGCCATAAATCTGAAAGCAGCAAGGACACTGGCTGCCCAGAGAAGCTGTGGCTGCCCCATCCCTCGCAGTGTTCAAGGCCAGGTTGGACAGGGCTTGGAGCAACCGGGCCTAGTGGAAGGTGCTCCTGCCCGTGGCAGGGCTTTGGAACTGGATGAGCTTTAAGGTCTTTTTCAACCCAAACCTGTCTGTGATTCAATGATACACACGCACACACGCTCCTGTTTCAACCTGTATCTACGGCTACCTCTTCAGCTCGCCCGGCCCCGGCCCCAGCTACCTCAACTCCCCGCCGCTCCCCGCCAGACACGCCTTCGCTCGGCCACATCGCCCCGGCACGAGACGTCTCAAAGTGCAGCCAACAACCAGGTGCCCCGCGCACGGCCATGAAGCGCCAGACGCACAGAGGGAAGCTCCAAGGGAGCCCCCGACAGCCGCCTGCGACTCCGGGCCGTGGCCGGCTTCCATGGAGACACCACAGCAGCGCGAAACCGCATCGGAGTGAGAACGGTAAGCGAGAACACACGCCGGAACCCCCCTCCCCTCCAGCGCAGGCGCTGGACTGAGGCGGGAAAGGGGTGAAGGCCCCGACGGTCACCAAAATAACGCTATCCCAACCCTCGGGAAAGAGCCCCACACCTACTTGAAAGCCTCCGCCATGACTGCACCGCTACCGCCCCGGAGGTGGTGCCACTTCGTGACCGACCGGAAGTCCTTCCCGGCTCCGTGTCGGCGGTGGTGACGGCTCCTGCCTCTAGGGGGCGCCGACGACTTCAGAGCCTGCCCCCGGCAGGGTGGCCGCTCTCGGCAGCGGCTCTGTGTTCGCTTCCGCGTCGCTGTCGCTGTGCGGTAGGGTGGTGCCTGCGGCTCGGCGCCGCTTTCCTCAGCGGCGATGGAGCTCCCGCTGCCCCCGTCCCTGCCCGCAGCTGCAGCCGTGCTGGCGCTGGCGCTGCCGGGCCTAGCTGCCTTTCTCCTGGTGCTGGTGAGAACCGGGCCGCGGTCACCGCTGTGCCGGGAGGGCGCGGTACGTGGGGCCTCACTGCCGCCGCAGCGGTGCGGGGTATGGGCGCTGCCAGCACCGGGCCTGCCGGGGGGCCTCTGCGGCCTGCAGCCGAACTGGAGCCCCCGGGGCTGGCCCGGGCTGGGCGGCAGACCCCGGTTTGTGCAGCCGCTGGCGGGGTTGTGCTGGTGTGTGGTGTTCTGTGGGGAGAGTGTTTTCGCAAGGCGTTGTGTGAAACGCCTCGAAAACGAGCTAAAAGTGGAGCGTTTCATTCTGACAGCGCACCTTGTAAAATATCCCCTTAATGCGCTTACACCGTGACCACTTGCTGGGAGTCCTGTGTGCTTCCGAGTGACTGAAATACGAGTGGGAAAAGTTTGACACTGCCTGCCAACAGTACCGTGTATATGATGTTTCCAAGTACTCCTACTCCCAAAGACCGAGTTCTACAGGTTTATTTTAGCTATGCATAAAGTTGACCAGAGCCTGTTTTGCAAGCGCTGATCCCGAGTAGTGCCATTGATTTTGGTGGCTCTGTTCAGGATCAGAGGCAGTTGTGTGGTAGAGATTACTCAGGGAAGGGGCAGCAGGGCTTGGGTCGCCACTTGAGAAGTATCTACATGCTTTGCAGTTAAAAACAGTAACAAGCCAATGATGCTGGCAGTTGTCAGAGTGGGTGAAATGATGCCATCAAATGGCCTGAGAAGGTTTTGGTCCTGTGTGATTTGGTCAGTGGATGAAGGACTGCACTGTTGACCCACCTCATTACTGGAGTATAGTTGGTTGCCCCTTGCAGCACATTCAACAGTTAGATAAACCTTTAGTAGAATGCTCAATTATTTTTTCTCATTTCTTTTTGTCTTGCATCACAGATTTGTATGATTGCTCATGTAACTGCCAGAAAAATGCCAACCTTTCACCGACATGAAAAAGAGAAATTCTTCGTAAATGCTGAAGGCAGGAAAGAATCTGTGCCAAGTATACATGATCCCCCTACCAGGGAGCTTTCTGTTGTTGTGCCTTCGTACAATGAGGAAGACCGGTGTAAGATTTTTCTTGCTTTATGAAAAAGAAGAAAATCTATCTGTTGTTGCTTTAATAGTGCAGAGGTCAGTTTATGTTAGCAGTAGATTCTGGCAGGCCAGATTATGTATCTGATTTGGACACAGTTTCTAGAAAACAGTCTAAGTACATTGAACCTCAAAATTAAGACACTGTGTAACTTGATTTCTGCTGCTAAAAATAGCATGGGGCATTTATAAGGAGCCTCTTTATTCTAATGAAGTCCAGCAGAATGGCTGCTCATTGCCTGTGTAAATGCTGTAAGGCCAGAAATAGAAAAAGACTTTAAAATTGGTTTGAGAGCTTCCCATTCTGTGCACAACAGCTGCAGCTCAGACGAGCAGGAAAAAAAGGATGATCTCACAGGTCTCTGACTTGGCCATATATGTGAGCGTCTGATACTAAAAAGCAAAGGCTTTCAGATGCAATAGAAATAATCAAGCTTTAAAGCTTGACATGGGGTTTATGTGGCAGCAGATGTTGTCATTCCTTTTCTTGGTGGGTGAAAATACTGAGCTGTTTGGGATCCCGTGAAGAGAGATGTTGATGAAGTCTCTCTGGACCCAAGGTAGGCCTGGCCCTTTCTCAAGTCTAATGCATTCCTCAGTTCTGGTTCTTGTACACCTGTTTTCAGTAAGCAGGGTCTTAATGTGATTTTCATTTGGTTGTCCCTCTCTTTGGTGATGGAATAATAACCTGAAATGTGCTCAGGAATGAACCTGCAGTGCAACAGCAAGTGTAAGATTGAATGCCTTTCTGAACTGCAAATGCATCAGCTGCAAAAGTAGTGGCTATTCGTTGGCTGAAGCATCAGGGTCAGCAGCCTTAGTAAGAGAAAGCATGTTATTGGCTAATGTTAGGAATTTCTCTTGTTGGTTGAATAGATAAAGTCAGTGCTGATTCGTAGGGTTAGTCATGGACAATGATTATTTTTGTTGCTTTAGTATTGTGTAGATACATATTTCAAAATGTAAAGTTTGTTCTTCAGAAGAAATCTTTTTATCGTGTCTTACATGTGTGATTCTCTTCAGTGTTGTGTTTGCATTCAGAAAGGAGGAGACTTAAGAGTTGCAGGTGCTAAGCTTGTTTACTGAAGGTAGTGTTTTATGCAAGAGGGCGTTTGCTCAGCTTTGTTCTGTGGTTATTTTCAGCTTGCTTTTGCAGGTGCTTTTGGTGCTTTGCCTGTTATGATTTACTAATCTTACCTCCTCCACCTTTTCTCTAGTACCTCTTATGATGGATGAAGCCTTGGATTATCTAGAAAAAAGACAGGTATTTTCATTTTGCATTCAAAGTTTATTATTTTTATATGCGGCATGTATAATATGTCAGTGATGTATTCACGTTGTTATTTTGGTGTACATTAAAACAGTGTTATTTAGCTGCTTAGAAGCAGTGTTTCTGACTCTTATCAGTTGTTTTTAAATTGAATGCTGGTAAGTTTTTAAATTAAGTAAAAATTTAATATACTACTACATGACGAAAAGTCTTTGTATTCATGATATCTCTCCAAGATAGAAATTAAGTTTTAACCATACAATTAGCTTCCTAAACTAAATACTGGTTTGTTCCAACAAGTTTCTTAAGCATTTGTTCTCAGGTAAGAAGCCCATCCTGAAAGTTTGAGGATTTTGTTTGGCTGGGTTTTCTTAACATTGCTGCTGTTATGAGCTTTCATCTTTTAAAACTAAGTTGATTTTTTTAGTTCTAGGTCATAGCTGAAGAAAACTATGAAAATCTGATGTAATGGATCACGCATCAAATATGGCAAAAGTCTTTAATTGTGCCATCTTAACAAATTTACATTATAGAATCATTAGTGTCTGTTGGCAACCATGAATGAGTTAAAAACTGATAGGGAGAGAAGAATGCTGATGTTTGAAAGACCTACTACCTACTTCAGGAATTGGATGAAATACATTATTTCTGGTTTTATTTTTAAGAAACGAGATCCTTCATTCACATATGAAGTAATAGTGGTGGATGATGGTAGTAAAGATGAAACTACAAAGGTAAGAAAAAGAAGTGTCTCACCAATCAGGTGTGGATTTCTGTACCTATTTATGGAATATAGCAATGTTTTGCATTTGTATTTCATTACTTGTAGTAGTTACTAATTAAAATTCATGTTTCTGAATACTTTGTCATTGTCTTGTATGCATTGTGGATGTCACATACACACATGCATACATATAGAATTATTTTACAAATACTACTATTCTTATTTGGCATCTGTGACAGCTATTTCCTGCAGCTGAGATTCTAAAAATTCTTATCTTAACTTCACGGAATTTCTTATGAAATATTCTAAACATGCACAGTGATGTGAATGTGAACTTGAGGAAGCTAAAAAGCCTTTTTAAATCACTATTCTGTACTGTGATAGAGCAGCTGGAACGTTGTGTTGCTCTTTCCCATACCCTTTGTGGCATTGTTCATTTAAAAATCCCCATGTTTTGCCTACCAGGGGCATGGATCAGGGATGTGGCAGAGAGGCTGCCTGCTCCTGTAAGTCCCACGGACTATTACCCACTCCTGGTGATACATGTGGGTGCTAGGGGTATAGATAGCAGTAGCCTGGGGAACATAAAGAAGGACTACAGAGCCCTGGGGGAGGTGGTTAGGGGCTCCGGAGCTCAGATAGTCTTTCCATCAATTCTCCAGGATACAGGGGAGGACCTAAAAAAAGCTAGGAGGATTGGCCAGGTTAATAAATGGTTAGAAGGGTGGTGTCATAGTCAGGGGTTTGGGTGTCTTGAACACAGGACCCAAGTTTGTAGGCCAGGTCTAGTGGGGGCTGGTGGAGCTGGTCTGATAAAGAAGGGAAAGAGCAGTTTTGGTAGGAGGCTTGCCAGACTGGTCAAGAAGGCTTTAAACTAGATGTGTTGGGGGAGGGGGGCATCATTCCATCCCAAGACACCCGTCAGTTGCCAGAACCTATAGTAAATGCTCGGAGCAATGTAGAGATATCCCAGCAACTCCAGCCAATGAGCCGGCTTCATTTGGAGCTCGGCTCAGATGCCTCTATACAAACGCCTGTAGCATGGGGAACAAACACAAGGAATTAGAGATGTGTGCACGTCTACAGGGGTATGATATAATAGGTATCACAGAAACATGGTGGGATGGCTCCTGTGACTGGAGTGTCGGAATGGCAGGTTACAGGCTCTTTAGGAAAGAGGCCTGGCAGACGGGGAGGCAGAGTTGCCCTTTATGTTAGGGATAGGCTGGAGAGTATGGAACTCTGTCTGGGGACAGGTGAGCAGTTAACAGAGAGTTTGTAGGTCAGGGTTAAAGGGAATATAGCTATGGGAGACATTACTGTGGGGATCTGTTACACACCACCTGATCAAGGAGAGCCTGTGGATGAAGCACTCCATAGACAGATAGGAAAAGCCTCGCACTCACAGGCCCTTGTTCTCATGGGTGACTTCAACCACCCTGATATCTGTTGGAAGGACGGTACGGCCCGGCACAAGCAATCCAGGAGGTTTCTCGATTGTGTGGAAGACAACTTCCTTCTGCAAGTAATAG